CCCCCCCCCCCCCCCCCCCCCCAAGATCACAGACTTGATCAGCGCAGCTTAAACCTCCAGCCCAGTCAGCCCCTCATCTAAATATGAGCGCCGTGAAGCTGCTACAGGAGCTACCAGATTTGCCCCCCACCCTCATCGCTGAGGAGCAATCAATCCGACCTCCACCCACCTCCCCCAGAATAACAAACTATAACTCTCTATCCGGGCTTTCGAGGCAGAGTGGCTGTCCGAGCGTGGGATATGGATGGGCTGCACTGCGCTGTGCTGCAGCCCTGAGGAGGGCCTTGGCCGTGGTCCATCACTGCCAGGTCCCAGGGTCAGTGGCTGAATCGGGGAGCCTGTCTCCTCACCGGGGCGCCATTAGGGCCAGAGACGCTCACTTATCCTAACAGGCACCAACGTTGATCGCGACCAGGCTGGACAGATGTCTCCAGCATGGCATCACTTAAGGGATTAGAGACAGGATGGGGAGTTAGTTGATTTATCATTTTGTTTTATAGACCTCATTCTTCGTTATAGATAAATATTGTATGTGCAGATTCACTAGCATAGAACACTGCCGTTTCTAATATTTAATATTTGTTCGATGTTTAATTCTAGCACATTTTTATATAGACAGTGTAAAAAAAAAAAAGAAGAGGAGTCTTCAGTATATTAAGCCCAGAGAATTGTCTGCAGTCTTCCTCTCAGGCTGCAGGTACAACCTCCACCTATCAGAGGGTCCAGCATCATAGCCTGTGTGTAAAACCCATGGCAAAGAAAGTCCACTAATCACTCACTGCTGCTTCTTTAACAGCTCCTCTCGTTTGAATAGCCGCACTAAAATACTGTTTAAAGGGATTTAGTGGATAACTCTTGAGCGTGTGTGTGTGTGTGTCTCTCTTCTCAGGTCAATATTCAAAAGTTCGATGTCCTCTCTTTTCTCCGTGATTAAATTTGTGCCATCGACAGCAGTGTATGTGTTATATATATATATATATATATATATATATATATATATATAGGTCATATAAGGTCATCTCTCGTCTGTATTGACTCACAGTTTCAAACTTAATAAGCAACTTTGTTCAATAATTCAAACTCCTTCTCGTGTGAACTGTGTCACACACACACACTGCCTCCAGTTGTTCACTTCTCTGAGACTGTTGTTTTCTGTTGCTGAAGTTCAAATTAACACGATTTTTGCAATGCAAGTTTATTAATGGGAGCGGGTGTTGCAGTGTGCATGTGTGTGTGTGTGTGTGTGAGAAAGCGCCGTGATAGTGAAGTGAGGTTATTTCGCCTGTGCTTGGCATCCCTGCTGTGCCCGGCGGTGCTCAGCCAATTAAGGGCTTTGTTGCCTCATCTCCTCCTAACTACCCATCAGGCCTGTGCCCTGTTCAAATCCTCCACACAGTCTCCTTCCGGAGACTTTGCACCACCAGCCACAGCAGCCCTCCTCTCTTGATCTCATGTAGAATGAGCTCTGGTGAACCCCGCGTGTGTGTTTGAGATCCGTAGTAGAGATACACTATCCTTTGCTTAGACAAACTTCTTTCCGCATGTCACTTCGTTCACTTCATCTCATTACTCCTGCCTGTTTTCATCTCTCTCTTACTAATTGAGGCTGCATGGTCAGCCTTCGAGGTTATGTCTCTGTCTTCATCACTCTGATCCAAAAAACCTCTGCATATATACTCCCGTACGCCCAGGGGCGTAAGTATATATAATATACCAGTCAATGATTCAGCATTGTTGCACTTCCGGTTCCCTCGTCTCGAGGTCAATGTGTTTCTGTGGTTAACACAAGCTTAAGACATTTTATTGTTTTGAACTGTGACATAAAATTTGACAGTTAATACCCCTCTCGTGCCTTTTGAAGCTTTTAAGTGTCTTAAAAAAGGGGGTTACCAACAAGTGGCTCAATGAGACGACTAAACATCATCACGCCAACTCCTCCTTGTGTACTAATACTCAAGCTCATGCATGTAGTTCGTATATAGCCTAACATTAGCATTTTGCTTTATACCTTTTACTATAATCATAAAAGGGGTGTGAAGATTTGTGAAGATGATCTTGCTTAACAAAATATGGTATTTCATAGTTCCATCCCAAGTGGTGCCATTTGCTATATATTTTCCTCGTCCCCATCTCCATCATGGTTTTCTTTTCTTTCTTTTTAGATAAATGCAATCGTAACCCTTAACAAATTGATATGCTTATTCTACATAAACTATGAAAATTACAATTCATTTGAAAAAAAACTATTCAATCAAATGAATAACTTCTTATTTTCTTTGGTATTTTGTCAGATACAGGCATGCAATGATGATTGCTGGGTAATATGCATGTTGATGTGCTCAACATATTATTGCCATATTGTAGCTCTTTGACCTCTCTACTTTCACAATACAATAGCCTAAGTCACTCATTTGACTGTAAAATCCAATATATATATATATATATGTGTGTGTGTGTGTGTGTGCGTGTGCACGCACTTCATAACTAGTAGCATGCACTGCAGTCCGTCGTAACTACCTTCTGCCACTGTAAATGCTACATCTCTGTGTAAAAAGTACCAGGAAGCCCAAAGCATGACCCGCTGGGGTTGTAACAACACTGCGACGTGACGAGGTCAGACAGATACGACTGCATGGGGGAAAAAAATAATCAGTGTGGTGTGTGTTCTCTATCTATTTCTCTAGCCCACAAGAAGCCTGCAAGGTCAAAGCTGGTGGATCAGAGGAGGCCACATAAGAGGGGGGGGGATTAGGGAGGAGGCTGCCGCCATCTGTCTGTATTTACAATACAGTGTGAGTGAGGAACAAGTTGGAAGATATGAATCCCTCAAGCTGAGCTGCAAGAGTGAGAGATATGATGATATTCTCACTGCTGGGGTGAGACGAGATTACAAAATGTCAGTATGAAACTACAGTCACAGAAAAAGTTTAGTGTGTGAGCGTCACACTTTTTTTTTTCATTAGATTGCACCCAAAGTTAAGTGACACGCTAGGTACATTCATGAGCCTGCAGTGTCGCGTGGTGAGGTCAGTCCACCACTTTGGTCTAGACTCTAGACTGAGATATCTCAGCAACTATGGAGGTCCATGGAATTGGTGATTCTTTGATCTTCGCCATTATCTGGTCAAACTTTCTTAATTTTACATTGGCACATTTTAGCATTAGAGCTACACTGATAAATCAATCTGCCAGTTGTATCGGCCAGTATCGGCTTACTGCATTTATGGCGGCATTGTTGGTCAATAGGTAATAGTTAGTTTGTATCAGTACATTTTTCAGGTCATGTTGCCAACCACTAGCAATTTATTTTTTTTAAAGGTTGCATACAAATAGAGGGGAGGAAAAAAAAACATTGTTTATTTTTGTTGTTTTAAATAGTAATGATGAATATTTTGGTCAAAAATAATATTTGGTTATCATTGCTTGTATTCAGAATGAATGTGATTATTACTGTCCCTTTTTACCCTCCTATAGGCAGCCCTGCTCCATTACATAGTTTGTCCAAAAGAGTGCACTTACAAGTCAACTGTTTTCAACTGTCAAACGTCTCAGGAGGATTCATGCGCACAATGCTTTTTAAAAAAGGAATCAAAGGAATATGTTTAAATGTTGTTTGTTTCTTCTCTGGGTCTCTGTTGTTATTAAAGTTACTTCTAGCTAATATAGTATCATTAACACATCTTTTAAACTCTAAAATATCAATAGCAGAGTCGACAGGGCAACAGTCAGCATGCTAACACCAGACTAATATGGTGAACATTATATCTGTTAAACGTTTGCATGTTAACTTTGTCATTGTGAGCATGTTAGCATGCTGTCGATAGCATTTTGCTCAAAACAGAGCTGTGCTTATGTAAGCCTCACAGAGCTGCTAGCATGGCTGTAGACTATTTCACCGCAAAGTCTCTAATGAAAATTGTTTGGAAATAGAAGTTGCCAGAGTTTGCCTTCGTCCACAGTTACTCCTCTTTACTCACAATACTCCCACACACACACACACACACACATGCCCTCCACATTAATGATACTTGACTCTTGTGTTTTCAGGGTCAACCACCTGCACTATCAGCCTGACGAGTATGAAGGGAACCCTGAAGTGGTTGGCTACGAAGACGGAGACTATGACCATCATTACCACAGTGACAACCGGTAAAGCACATGCTGAAACACACCACATGCTGTGTTGACCAGCTCTGACCCCTCAAGTGGGGAATTAAATCAGCCACCTATTATCTCCTTCACATGGCCTCTGGGTGTTTTCCTAAGATGATATCCATAAACATGAAGCTGATCTCAATATATCAATTAAAACCATCTTCTTCTCTTGCAACACTCCAGTAACAGCATGTACCTAAACACTCATCACCACAGGGGAAAAAAAACAAAGGTCATTTCCCCGATGTGGTTCCCAGTTTACATTGTATGATAATGTTATCGCAGAATGAATCAAGGAAATGAGAAAATAGACACTTGTCAACTTGCACGGCAGCAAATAATTATAATCAGAAACTCAGAAAATGATTATCCTAACAATCACCTGCAAGTTATTTCTGCCTCTCTCACTCTGGATCCGGCTTCGATCTGTCTCCCCCTCAATCAGAGTGAAGAGGAAATCGAGCAGCTCTCCATCTCCTCGTCCGAAGAAAAGGAAGAAGAAGAAATCTGGCCGCCGAAGGAGTCGGTGAGTGGGAACGGCTTCCACTGATGAAGTGGTTCGATTTATCTGCTTTTTCTTTTTCCCCCCCGCCTCCTTGACAGAATAATTGCACTGTGGTTACAAGAAGTGGAATTCCAATTATTTTGGTGTGAATATTGCTAAAGAGCCATCAGATACTGAAATGGGGGGTGGGGGTGGGGGTGGGGGGGGGGGTTGTAGGGAGTCATTAGCAAAGCATAGTCGCATCCTCCGTTTTCTTCAGAAAAGGTCAAAAAGGAAACGGGGAGAGAGAGAGAGAGAGAGAGAGAGAGAGAGAGAGAGAGAGAGAGAG